TGCGGGAGCTGGTGAACTCAGAACCTGCAGGTCAGGAGGTTGGCTGCTGGCTCACTGGTTGCGGGAGCTGGTGAACTCAGAACCTGCAGGTCAGGCAGCTGGCTGAACGCTTCTCCAAGAACTGGAGGTCAGACCACAAGACAAGCGCAGAAGTGAGAGAGCGTGAGCTTTACTGGAACATCCTGTATGTTGGATGCAGGCCACATCCCCAAAGAAACTCCCCTTCCAGCTGATTGGGTGCTCTTATCACATCACAAAGTAGAGAATGATTGTATAATATCTGCAAACCACCGAGAGCCAAGTTGGCACATAGCAGTAACTATCACAACCCTTCTAGTCTGTAGACTACCCTGCTCTGTAAGGGTAGATGTCGATACTTAAAACATCGCTTAGCACATATTAGGTACTTAATAAACGTGTTGAGTGAATGTAATAATACTTTTGAAGGAAACTTTTTAAAGAAATGCTTCCACTGCACCAGAGCTTCCTGATAGATTGACAGGTGTGCCAGGACTGTGTTGTAAACGTGCCATGATATTGATGCCCGCAGCCCAGCTTTGGGCCAGTCATTCTGCCAGCAAGCAGCCTCTGTTTGCTGCAACGTGCCATACAAGTACTCTCATTTTCTGTGTGTGTGGGGACCTGAAAAAGGTTAGGGATTCAGCTCAATTTTAGGGAACAAAATCCCTGTGAATTTTTGGTTTTGGCTTCTTGTTGTTGAGGTGCCTGGATGGCTTCTGGAACCTGCATGAGTGGGTGGGGCTTTCTTTGCTGCCCTTAGTCAAAGCGTTCTTGATAGAGAGCACGAAAGCTCTGCGTGCGGTTCCCACCAGTCCTAGGTGGTTACTCTGCCAGTGGTGCAGGCAGAGCTGGTGGGGTAGGAGAGTGAGACAGACCCTCTCCCCTTTCACTTACCGTACGTGGTTGGCGTCTGGCCTACGTGCTTACGTACAGTAGGTTCTGTCTCCAAAAACATGCTCGAACGTGACTAGCATAGTGGCTTAATTTAAAATTTTTTCTCAATTTTTTTTTAAAACTTTGAACAAAACCATTTTCCTTTTTTTTTTTTTTTTTGTATTGTAAGTGTGACCCAGAATCATGTGAAATGTAAACATTATTATGTAGAGAGTAAAAGTTCCTTGAAATTTCTCTCCTCAAAGAGGGTCACTTTCAACAGTTTGGTATGTATTCCCACAGTTGTTTACATAGACATTTTTTGCTTATTTACACAAAGAGAGACTCATATGAGACATAATGTTCTGTAATTTTTTTTAACTTAGCAGTGTGTCAGAAACATCGCTGGATGTTCGTACTCACAGATCTAACACACTGTTTAATGAGAATGTGATCTTCCAGTGCACGCATGCACCATACTTCTTCCTATCAGTGGGCATGGAGGTTGTTTCTAATGTTGTACTGTTACAAACAGATCTGCAGTGAACATTCTTTAACGTGTCTCTCTGTGCTCTTGTTACGAATGCTCCTGTGGGATGTTGGTTTTGTTGTTGGGTGCCGTCGAGTTGATTGCAACTAATAGCAACCCCGTGTGTAATAAACCAAAAAACCAAACCTGTTGCCATTGAGTCGATTCTGACTCATAGCGACCCTATAAGGCAGAGTAGAACTGCACCATAGAGTTTCCAGGGAGTGGCTGGTAGATTTCAACTGCCGACCTTTTGGTTAGCAGCCAGTCTGTTATCCCCTGTGCCACCAGGACTCCCCATGTGTAATAAAAAAAAAAACTCGTTGCCGTCAAGTCAATTTCGACTCATAACGACCCTGTAGGACAGAGTAGAACTGCCCCATAGGGTTTCCAAGAAGTGGCTGGTGGATTTGATCTGCTGACCTTTTTGGGTAGCAGCTGAACTCTTAACCACTGCGCCGCCAGGGCTCCATGTGTAATACATAGATAATGCTGAATCGTTCGTGAAAAAAATGTGGGGCTAGTTTATTATCCTCCCAAAGCTAGTGAGAGTGTTTGTTTTCCTGCACCCTGGCCAACACTGTATAGATAATTTTTGTCTGTCTAATGGATGAAAAGATATTTTTTAAAAAACTTTGCTTTTCCCTGACAACTACTTAGATTGATGATCTTCTCATATGTTTTTGTCATTTATATTTCCTTTTTTTATGTTTCTTGTTCATATCCTTTATCCATTTTTCTTAGTGATTCGTGTGTTTTCAGGTGTCTGTCTGTTTATAGGCTGTGAATATTTTTTTCTGGATGTTACTTCTTTTAAGGAGCCTTGGTGGCATAGTGGTTAAAGCACTCAGCTGCTAGTCTCAAAAGGTCGGCGGTTCGAACCCACCAGCCACTACACGGGCGAAAGATGTGGTAACCTGCTTCCGTAAAGATTACAGTCTTGGAAACCCTATGGGGCAGTTCTACTCTGTTGTGTAGGGTCACTGTGAATTGGAATCGACTCGACGGCAGTGGGTATGAGTTGGATATCTTTTGCTTTAGAGAGGTTTTAAATTTTTATGTAATAAAGTCTTCTCATCTTTTTCTTTATTACATCTGGGTTACATGTATTGATGAGAAAGGTTTATTTTGTCATAAGATTGAAAAACTGATTCCGTATTCTAATACTCCTGTGGTTAACATTTTAATATTTAATTCATTTGAAATATACTTTGGTGGGTTATACAGGACTCCCTGGGTGGTGCAGGTGGTTAATGCACTTTGCCCTGAACAAAAGGTTGGAGGTTCTTGTCCATCCAGAAGCGCCTCAGAAGAAAGGCGTGACGATCTGCCTAATGAAAAATCAGCCCCTGGGAACCATATGGAGCACAGCTCCTCTCCTGATGCACACACAGTCGACTTGAGGGCAGCTGAGTTTTGAGTATGGCACAGGGGTCTAACTTTTCTTTTAATGTGGATTACCAGTTGCCTCTGGGACTATCCTTCTTTCCCACTGCTTGAAGATACCTACTTTATCACAGACTAAATTCCCACATACAGTGAAACCTGTGAGAGCCAGAACTCAATGGGGCTGCCTTCTTTTTCCGGGTCTCATTAGTTTTCTGCCTTTTGACAGGGTGCAGTCTTACCACTTTTCTATTGTTCTCTGTTAGTGGGAAATATTTGAGTTTTCCTTCTCTGACAGAGCCCTGGTGGCGCAATGGTTAAGAACTCAGGCTGCTAACCAAAAGGTTGGCAGTTCAAATCCACCAGCTGCTCCTTGGAAACCCTATGGGGCAGTTCTACTCCATCCTAGATGGTCTCTATGAGTCAGAATCTGTTTGGTGGCAGTGGGGTTGTTTTTTCCTTCCTCTTTCTTCTCTAACTGCCTTATGCAGGTTCTGGCTTTTGCAGGTTTTACTGTTATGCTTTAGTTTCTCTATTTATTTAGTCTTGTGCCCACACAGCTTTATAAAGTGTTTTGATTTTAGGGGGTAGGTCAAGCACTCTGCTGGTTACTTTTATCTGTGAAAATTTTCATAACTCTTCTTGATAAACATGACTCTTCCAGCTGAACTTTAGAATCAAGTGGTCATGTTTCAAAAGAATCGTATTGGAATTCCTTGAATTAATAAATTAATTTGTGGGAAATCTGATATTTTAATGACACTGAGTCTTTTATCCAGGAACATGAAAGTATGTCTCAGTTTTGTTTTCAA